TCAAATACCTTTTCTTTATTGAGATGATCATGATTTTTTTCTATTTTGTTTGTTAAAATTTTTAATGTGAAAATCATAGTAATGTGCCCAATTATTTCTTTGCTTTCAACTATTAAGCTTCGGATGACACTTGGGCTGGAACCTTCTTTACCAGGTTGGCAATAGTGAGCATCCTTGCTTTGTTAGCAATTGCAAGGGAATGTCTCTAATGTTTTCCCTGATATTATCATGTATGCTGTTAGTTTTTGTAGATATCATTTATTAGGTGATTTCCTTCTAGTTCAAGTTAAATTGGAAGTTTTCATTGTGAATTAAGGTTGCATTCTACAAACATTGTTTCAACACATTTAAAAATCCTATGACTTTTTTTCTGTTGGTATGACTTACATCATGATTAATTATGGTATTAAGGATTTGGTTAGATAGTAATCTTTTATGATTTTGACATCTGTTTTCATTGGTGTCATTGGTGACATTATTGACTAATTTTACTGCTACACTCATGGAGCAGGGAGGATTTTCCTTATCTTTTTTTCCCACACAATTTTTTTTAAGATTTCATATAAAATGGAGTTGTTTATTCCTTTAAGTTTTGGTAAAACTCCATATAAAGTACCAAAACTGAAACAGGAATAAATAGACAATTTGAACAGAGCCATACCCAGTAAAGAAATCAAATTAGTAATCAAAAATCACCCAAAAAACAAGAGTCCAGGGCCAGATGGCTTTCCAGGGGAATTCTACCAAACATTTAAGGAAGAGTTAATACCTATTCTCTTGAAGCTGTTCCAAAAAATAGAAATGGAAGGAAAACCTCCAAACGCTTTCTATGAGACCAGCATTACCTTGATTCCAAAACCAGAGACCCCACTAAAAAGGAGAACTATAGACCAATTTCCCTGATGAACATGGATGCAAAAATCCCCAATAAGATATTAGCCAATCAGATCCAACAATACATTAGAACTATTATTCACCATGACCAAAGGGGATTTACCTGGGATGCAGGGCTGGTTAAAAGAAAGGACAAGAACCACACGATCCTCTCAATAGATGCAGAGAAAGCATTTGACAAAATACAGCATCCTTTCTTAATAAAAACCCTCAAGAAAGCAGGGATAGAAGGATCATACCTCAAGATCATAAAAGCCATACATGAAAGACCCAATGCTAATATCATCCTCAATGGGGAAAAACTGAGAGCTTTTCCCCTAAGGTCAGGAACAAGACAGGGATGTCCACTCTCACCACTGTTATTCAACATAGTATTGGAGGTCTTAGCCTCAGCAATCAGACAACACAAACCAAAGGCATCTAAATTGGCCAGGAGGAGGTCAAACTTTCACTCTTCGCAGATGACATGATACTCTATATGGAAAACCCAAAATATTCCACCAAAAAACTACTAGAATTGATTCATGAATTCAGCAAAGTTGCAGGATATAAAATCAATGCACAGAAATCGGTTGCATTCCTATGCACCAACAATGAAGCAACAGAAAGAGAAATCAAAGAATCGATCCCATTTACAATTGCACCAAAAACCATAAAATACCTAGGAATAAATCTAACCAAAGAGGTGAAAAATCTATACACTGAAAACTATAGAAAGCTTATGAAAGAAACTGAAGAAGACACAAAGAAATGGAAAAAGATTCCATGCTCCTGCATAGGAAGAACAAATATTGTTAAAATATCGATACTACCCAAAGCAATCTACATATTCAATGCAATCCCTATCACAATAATATGAGCATTCTTCACAGAGCTATAACAAACAATCCTAAAATGTGTATGGAACCAGAAATGACTCCGCATAGCCAAAGAGATCTTGAAAAAGAAAACCAAAGCAGGAGGCATCACAATCCCACATGTCAAGCTGTATTACAAAGCTGTAATCATCAAGACAGTATGGTACTGGCACAAGAGCGGACACTCAGATCAATGGAACAGGATAGAGAACCCAGAAATGGACCCACAGTGTATGGCCAACTAATCTTTGACAAAGCAGGAAAGAATATCCAATGGAATAAAGACAGTCTCTTCAGCAAGTGGTGCTGGGAAAACTGAACAGCGACATGCAGAAGAATAAACCTGGACCACTTTCTTACACCATACACAACAATAAACTCAAAATGGGTGAAAGACCTCAATGTAAGACAGGAAGCCATCAAAATCCTCATGAAGAAAGCAGCCAAAAACCTCTTTGACCTTGGCCTCAGCAACTTCTTACTCAACACATCTCCGGAGGCAAGAGAAACAAAAGCAAAAATGAACTATTGGGACCTCATCAAAATTAAAAGCTTCTGCATAGCAAAGGAAACAATCAGCAAAACTAAAAGGCAACTGACAGAATGGGAGAAGATATTTGCAAACGACATATCAGATAAAGGGTTGGTATCCAAAATCTATAAAGAACTTCTCAAACTCCACACCCAAAAAACAATAATCCAGTGAAGAAATGGGCAAAAGACATGAATAGACATTTCTCCAAAGAGGACATGCAGATGGCCAACCGACACATGAAAAAATGCTCAACATCACTCATTATCAGGGAGATACAAATTAAAACCACAAAGAGATACCACCTCAGGCTAGTCAGAATAACTATAATGGCTAAAATAAACAACTCAGGCAACAAGAGATGTCGGCAAGGATGTGGAGAAAAGGGATCTCTTTTGCACTGCTGGTGGGAATGCACTCTGGAAAGCAGTATGGAGATTCCTCAAAAAATTAAAAATGGAACTATCCTATTAACCAGAAATTGCCCTACTAGGTATTTATCCGAAGGATACAGGTATGCTGTTTCAAAGAGGCACATGCACCCCAATGTTTATAGCATGGCTATCAACAATAGCCAAAGTATGGAAAGAGCCCAAATGTCCATCAATGGATGAATGGATAAAGAAGATGTGGTACACACACACACACACACACACACACACACACTGGAGTATTACTCGGCAATCAAAAAGAATGAAATCTTGCCATTTGCAACTATGTGGATGGAACTAGAGGGTACTATGCTAAGTGAAATTAGGGAAAGACAAATATCGTATGACTTCACTCATGAGGACTGCAAGATACAAAACAGATGAACATAAGGGAAGGGAAGCAAAAATAATATAAAAACAGGGTGGGGGACAAAACGTAAGAGACCCTTAAATATGGAGAACAAACACAGGGCTACTGGAGGGGTTGTGGGAGGGGGAATCAGCTAAAAGGGTAAGGGGCATTAAGAATCTACTCCTGAAATCATTGTTGCATGACATGCTAACTTGGATGTAAATTTTAAAAAATTAAATAAAAATACAAAAAAAAAGTTTGGTAAAACTCAAAGCCATTTATGTTTTAGTTTGTTTCATGTATAAGTAAATATTTGATACACTTGAGTTTCTAATAGTTACATAATCCATAGTTTAGATTCTGTATCATTCTTGATAAATTATAAAATTTAGATTATCTTGAAGTTTCTATATTTATTAGGAAAATTTATTGATAATTTTTATTTTTTTAAGTTTATCCATTTTGGGGGGGGGGCAGAGAGAAGGAGAGACAGAATCCCAAGTAGGCTCTACACCATCAGTGCACAGCCCTACGTAGGGCTTGAATTCACGAGCCCCGGAGATCATGACCTGAGCCAAGATCAAGAATCAGACGCTTAACTGACTGAGCCAGCGAGGCACCTCTAGTCATAATTTTTAAAACTCTACTCTATATGATGTAGTAGTTATTTTGCTCTTTTTTCCTGATTTTTTCCATGAGGTGGTCTATTTAGTTAGTTTGGTCAACTATTGGTTGTTGATTATTTTGTTTGTTTTCTATCTCACTGAATTTATATTTATCTGTATTAGTTACATTTTAGTTGAGTTTAATGCTTAGCTCATTTTCATCTTTTCTACTCCCCTATTTAGGCATTTCAGGCTTTAAGTTTTCTTGTAAGTACTTTTGTGCTAAATCCCACATACCATTTGATGTGTAATGCTCTAGAAGTGTCGTTTCCAGTTTTTACTGCTGTGTGCATGGTGACATTTCTTTCGCAATTGCTGTGTTACTGATTTCTAATTTTATTTCGTTGTCATTTGGGGGTGAACAAATTTTTCCTTGGGTCTGTTTCATTTATTGTAACCCCTGGCTTTTCTCTACTTCATTACCTACACCCTCCTAGGACGTAGGGAATGGTTTATCTGTTTGGTAAATTAGGGAAGATTCAACTGACAAGGTGCATAATTATACCTAATTCTTGGGTTAAGTCATCTAGCCCATTTGGCTTTTATTCTAAGCCTTCTTCACTAACATTCCAAGCTTTTGTCTCCAACTTTTCAGTAAAAAAAAGTAGTATTTTGGCTCCCATTTGCTATTAATTGTGATACTCTTTAATTGTTTCCAAAGACAAGCAGGAAGGAGAGGACCTATGTTCTACACTAGATATAAAGTCTTTTGTTTTCACTTAGACTGCCTCTGTGTTCCCAAAGTATGACATTTTAATGCTCTGTTGTTTTTGAAAATGTCATGTACTGTTTATATTGGGTGCATGGCTCTATATGTGTGTATACATTCACATATAGACACATAAACATGTATGTTCATGTGTTATGTCATATTAGTTCTTACCAATACTTTATCAATTTATAAGAATATAATAAAAATCTCTCATTTTGATGCGGATTTGTAGTTTTTCTTTGTTTCCTTTAACTTAAATAAAGGATATTGTTAGAGTCATACATGATCAGGATTGTCTGAGTGTCCAAATAATGTGCTCTTAATTATCTGGGCCTTCTGTAGCTAATAAAACTGTGAACCATTTTTTACATTTTTTATCTAATTTTTGAAGGGTGAGAGATTTTTCTTCCTGTAACTTTTTAGGACTCAGAATCCTACTCTTAATTCTCAGTCTTAAGAGATCTTAGCAAATTTACTTATTGAACAGAAAATTCTATATCTTACGCTTTTGTCTCTTAAAACTAAATTGAAAAGATTTCATGAATTGCAGCACTCACCATCACATGATTTTGTTTCTAACATTTGCTCTGGGCATAGATGTTGATTTTCCAGTTCTTGTATGATCACAGCTCTGGAACGGACCTGTATTCCACCAAAGCCTAGGTCCTCACCATTCACGCAGGTTATCTGACACAGGCTCCACGAAGACCAGTCCTTCAGATAACAGTCACCTGTAAAACACCGGTTGGTAGTTCATACACATACCCATAAATAGCAGCCGTCCAGCTAGTAATTATATTTCTTCACCTCACTGGGAAATGTTTTTTGGTATGCTAGTCATACATGATATTTATAGGATTTAGATAAGTATTTAATTTTGGCAAGTTTATATGTGGTTTACAAGTGTATATTAATGTTAGTTTTGGAGTGGATGTTGATGAATAGAAACTACAGCTTCCAGGATCTTGTGTCTTATGATTCACCTCCTCTTAAGAGACAACAAACAGTTGATTAAAACCTACCACCACTCCAGGGACGCCTGCGTGGCTCAGTCGGTTAAGGATCTGACTCTAGATTTTGGTTCAGGTCATGATCTCAGGGTGGTTGGTGAGTTTGAGTCCCGCGTCAAGCCCTGCACTGTTAGTGAGAAGCCTGCTTGGGATTCTCCCTCTCTCTCTCTGCCCTTCTCCCTCTTTCTCTTTTGTGCATGTGCTCTCCCTCTCAAAATAAACTTTATATATTAAAAAACAAAACAAAACAAAAAACCTACCACCATTCTTGACATTATGGTGAAGAGGTTTATTAAGCACTTGGTAGTACCAATGAAAATCTAAATATACATGAAATTTGTCTTGTAGATATGCATAATTTCAAAAACACTTGAACTCCAAGGCTGAGAAAACTGGCATTTATACTTTAGTTTTTCCTATTTCTTGCCAGAGGTGTGAGGTGAGACGTCAATTGAGCAGCAACTGCAGTAGTAGTAATAATCCTTGTGACTTTATCTGACCTACATCTTCAATTGAATTATTTTTTCAATTATTTATTGAAGAAGAATATGCATGAAAAATGATCACATATTATAAATGTTCAAATTTTCACAGTCTGATTTTATAACTTTGCGGCCAATGCCCAAATCAAGCAACAGGACATTCTCAGAATTTCAGAAACGTTTCTTGTGTGACATATGGAATCGTACCATCTGTATGTGTAAAAAATACTTCACTCATTTATGTTTGCAGGATCCACATGTATTTATGTAGTTTCACTGTGATCGTTAGTGCTGTATTTTACTCCATTATATGACTGTATCATAAGTTAGATACCATTCTTTTGATGGGCAGGTGGAGAGTTATACATTATTTCTATAATGAATACTGCTATTGTGAACATCTTAGTGTGAGTCTTTGAACTTATATATGCATTTCTACTGGGTGTATACTTAGGAGTGGAATTGCTGGGCCCTGGTGTATCCTGCGTTCAACATCTTCAACCATTTGGAGAACAAGGAGGATTTGATGAAATATACCTTTCCTGTATACCCATCCATTCTTCAGGACTGACTGGTGATACTGTACACAGGCTATAGTAAATTATGATAGACACGAATCCACAGGGATTCTTATCATTTTAATTATTCCAGCCATACCATATGCATAATTCATATTGCCTTATATTATGCTGAAGATGCCTAATATTAGCACAAATTTGCCTGGAGATCTGATTAATGAAAACATGTCTTGTGTTATAATTAAGAAATCTTGGCCAGACGTGAATAACTGGCTAATAGGTATATGTATAACAGTAAAGTGGAGTGATTTTTATAGACCTTTATTATAGTATGTCATTAATAGTCAATGTCCTCCTGAAGTGCAGAAAATTCTACTAAATTTTAGAAGTGTTAAGGAAAAAGAAACTACAAAGCATGTTTAAATACTTTGGGGTTACTCAGTTTTTAAATACATAGGAAAAACTATTGAAATTTTAAATAGTCCTCTCAAGATAAAGGTACTGTAACTACACCCCAGCGATTGCAAACTACATGGAAATAAAACATATCTTTTTTTTTTTTTTTTTTTACTGGTAGGCTTTATCTCTGTGATTATATCACTTGACATAGTGTATTTTACAACAAAACTCAATAAATCTTTTAATATTTGTCTGTGAATTATATAATTGTCACCCCGAAAGAATCCATGTCAGGCTTTAAAGGCTGAATAACAGCAAATGACAGTGAGACATTGGGCTTGTACTAAACATACTTTTATGTTTTGACCATATAAACCATTATAATAATAAACCACACTATGCCTGCAAAAGATAGGACAAGTATATAAAATGCACTTCCTCCTTCAGTATTTTACTTACTTTAAAGCTTATTAGCTCATATGTTGCTAGTTTTCAAAACCCATTATTGGAGAAAACTGGCAACTGGGATGAAGAGATGGTAACTTAGAAGAGCAGCCTCCTTATGGGTTTGTAATTAATTTAATTAGAATAGTGTGTTTGTTCTGTTTTATGTTATTGTGGGATCTTGTTTTCCTTTGGGTAACTTAGGACAAATTTCAATCTTGTGTTTATTTATGTTACTATTAGATTAGCACCAGTCTCTTCCATTAGAAGGTAAACTCAATGAGGACAGGGTATATATGTCTCTCAATGTATTGAGCCCTGTGCCTAGCCCCCAGTAACACCTGATAATAATAATAAAATGAGTGGGTGATTGTGCTGTAGGAAGTATAAGAAAACAAGTAGACAAACTCCACAGGAAAGCAGACACGAATTCCTGGCAAGGCTGCTAGTGCTGCTCCGTGTTGTGGTTATCATGATAATCCTATTATGGTGCTGGAGATTTGGCTCTGGAATAGACAGGCCTTCCAACTTTTAGTTCTGGTGCCTTTTGACTATGTGGCCATTTAGCACATCAAAGCCCAAAGGTTCAGTCCTTGGCTCTGCCCAGAGCCCTTACCTGCTGCCACAGCCTCAACCTTGGTCAGCTGTGAAGCAAAATGATTTTACTGAATTGTATGTGAGAATGTGGATTGCAATCAGGCCAGTTTTTTGTGGGGTGGGGGGAGGGCAGGAAACGGAGTAGGGGAATTGCTGGGTCAGGAATAGTTTATTATTAGCAGGTGCAGGAATGTCTAAGAAGCAACACTTAATCGAGGTCTTGAACGTAAGATTTTTAAAAAGATCTTTCTTCATTTGAAGCAGATGAAACTATAAGTACGTACAAAGGCTGTTGTTACGGTTGTGAGGAATGCCCTCAAAATCTAGCATATAGTTCAAAATATCAGGGATTATTTTACTTTACTGCTCTGTTTTAATTTTATTCAGTTCATCTTAATAAACTATAGAAAGTGCCAATATTATCATCTCAAATAATTTACTTAAGAATGAATAAACTGATGAGAGAATGAGCAACCCATATAGTAAGCTTTTTACAGCATTTAGAGACCTCAATCCATTAAAATAAACTTTTGAAAATATGTCCTCCATCTTTAAAATTTCCTTAAACCATAACTTTTTTATTTAGGTAGTCTATTTTTGTCTCCAGTCAAAATTTGTTTGCCAAATCCTTATTTTTATTTTTTGGGGATCTTATTCAAAATAACACATTCCTTAAAGAGATCAATTTTTTTCTTCTCATAATTATAAGCAAAGTGGAGAATAAAAACTTTCCACTGAGGGTGAAATACAGGCCATTTACTTCCAGTCTTATTTCTCTCTCGTCTACTAATAAATTGTTGCCCCCATCTTTCTCAAAGCCTTAGGCTCATGCTTGATGTTGAGCTTATTTTGATCTTCTGTCTACCCTACAGTTCTCTGCACCAAGCCCAACTTCCTGAATATTAGCTTATCTTGTCTTCCAATTATTTCTAAACTATTTGATATACTATTTGATATTTGATATATTCCAATATTAGCTTATCTTGTCTTCCAATTATTTCTAAACTATTTGATATACGATATTTGCTTTCCACATTTTACTGCATGAACCCATGTGTCCAACTCTGAATTGTGGTAATTTCTTTCAATATTTTCTTCCATAATATTTTTTTCTCACTCTCGAATGATTTTGCTGGGGAAAGGATTTTAGGCTCATGACTATTTTCCATCACACTGTGCATATATTCCATTGTCTTCGGACTTTCATTGTAACTAAGAAGAATTTTTTATGATTCTAACTGATTGCCTTCCAGTTGTAAGTACTCTTTTTTTTTCTTTCTGCATGCTTTACTAGTTCTCTAGTTTTCTACATTTTGTGTTTTAACTACAGTGTATCTAGGTGTGATTTTGTTTTTGATTCTTTTCAGGACCCAAAGTAAGTTTTCATTAATTATAGGACTTAAATCTTTTGTTAGCCATTTGTGTTAAAACCCTGCTTCTCTCTCTCCTGGAAATCCTAAATAGATACAAATTCCCTTTCATACGTTCCCTGTCAAGCAGGAGCCTAAGGCCTTAACTGCCCTCCTCTGCGGGTGTTAGAACCCCAGGGTGACAGCAGAGGCCACACGGGAGACCTGGACTTCACCCTGAGTTGGCAGTAACAAGGCAGTAACCCCTGCATCCACGCTACGTATCCAGTTGTTGACACAGATACTACTGAATGAGAAGACTTGCTGACATGCCTTAACTTAGACTAGCAAGTGCAACCTCTTCTCTATCCTAGGTCTAGTAAGAAATGACCAAACTATGAATAACATTTTGTTATTGTTACCTGGGCAAGGCTGGGTGCAGGTCTCCTCGAGAACCATTTTTTTATTACCCTCTATAACGGGTTCAATGTCAGTACAGAATTCTTCATCCACCACTTTGCCGAAATCATCACCTGACCCATCACTCACTACACAAGAAATGTTCCTCGTTCTGGTCCCTTCACCACACTGGGCATCCTAGAACGCAGGAAGAAATAACTAATTAGGAAAAGAAAAATAATTCATTAGCAAGCTCATCACTTACAGTCATCTTCTGCACCATTGATCTTGATTTATGAGCAGTTAAAGAAGCATTTGAAACCCTAGAGAAGAAGTCCTGTAGGAAACTAGCCATAAAGTATACAATGAACAATTTATTTTTTTTTTTTGTAGCCGAAGACAGGCAAATAAATTTTCATTAAAATGAATCTGTCTCCAAATGATTTTAAACACACAGGACAGGGACTGCTGGTTATCAAAACTAATTAAACAGTTAGGAAATAGCAAGGGACCTAAAATCTTTAAGAGGAAACATGTCATCTGTAAGTTCTGAAAAATATTTCTGAAACTAAATCTCTGCAGATAAAGAACACACCTCTCTCTCTGTCTCTCTCTGTCTCTCACTCTGTCTCTGTCTCTCTGTCTCTCTGTCTCTCTGTCTCTGTCTCTCTCTCTCTCTATATATATATATATTTTTTTTTAAAGAGAGAGTGAATGTGAAGAGGGGCAAAGCGAGAGAGAGAGAGAATCCTAAGCAGGTTCTGCACTCAGAGGGAAGTCAGACACAGGGCTCTTCTGTATGACCCTGGGATCATGACCTGAGCTGAAATCAAGAGTCGGATGCTCAAATGACTGAGCCACCAAGGTGGCCCCCCCACACCTTTTTTAAGTAGGCTCCATGCTCCATGGAGCCCAATGAGGGGCTTGAACTCATGACCCTGAGATCAAGACCTGATCTGAGATCAAGAGACAGACGCTTAATTGCCTGAGCCATCCAGGCGCCCCTCTATACAACTTCTTGAGATTTGATTACCTGTACTTGGCATAGAGACCACTGGCCATATTGCCATTGATAACAGGGCTTCACTGGGCAAGGCTTAGACTGTTCCATCAGGGCAGGGCATGGTCGTCCATCACCCTGAAAGGGCTGAGTCACTGTTCGTCTTCGGATCATTTTTCCTTTAAGAGATACAAAGTGATGCAAAGTGATATATTTGTGTAAGCATCTATCTTGAAAGAAGGCATCACAGACATTTCTCCTGAGGAGATCCAAGGGACAAGTCTCAGATATTTTGAAAGGAAAGACACTGATTCAACCTTTATGAAAATTATCTGGTAAGCATTAAAGCAAGAGTGATATTTCATATTCCTTGACTATTAATCTAATGCTAATGAAGGTACAAACAAACCTGTGAGGCCACATGTTTGAGAGCATTCTGACCAAGGAGACCAGTCAGAAAGCTGACAGTTGATAGGACATTCCACCATGCAGGATGTGTTCATCTGCCAGTTCTTCTCCAGGCCAAGCTGAAAGGAAAGAGGTAGATCTGTTTTACTGACCTGGAAGGATGGCATGATGTGTCTTATTATTAGAGGGAGGATGGGAGGAAGAAAAAAAAATAGTAGTGGGGAGGAGAGGAGAGGAAGAATAAGCAAGATGCATAATAAAACAAAATGGTATCTGGAGGACAAACACCCAAACTTAAAACTATAAAGTTGTTCAACCCACGAGAGTGGGAACAAAGGGCACAGGATGAACAGAGGAGTCCATTTACTCCATATGCATTGCTGAACTTTCAAATTAAAAAAAAAAAGTTTTTAAATTTTAGCTAATGCTATCATTTTTTTAAGTTAGTTATGTTTTTTAATTTTTTTAAATGTTTATTTATATTTTGAGAGAGAGACAGACAGACAGAGGGGGAGTGGCAGAGAGAGAGGGAGACACAGAATCCAAAGCAGACTCCAGGCTCTGAGCTGTCAGCACAGAGCCTGATGTGGGGCTAGATCTCATGGATCATGAGATCATAACCTGAGCTGAAGTCAGAGGCTTAACTGACTGAGCCACCCAGGCACCCCTTAAGTTTACTTATTTTGAGAGAGAGAGCATATATAATTGGGGGAGAGGCAGAGAGAGAGGGAGAGAGGGAGAGAGAGAGAGAGAGGGAGGGAGGGAGGGAGGGAGGGAGGGAGGGAGAGAGAGAGAGAGAGAGAGAGAGAATCCCAAGCAGGCTCCATGCTGTCAGTGTGGAGCCCTCCGTGGGGCTCTAGCTCACAGACTGTGAGATCATAACCTGAGTTGAAACCAAGTCAGACTGTTAACTGAGCTACGCTTGACCTCCTAAATTCAAAAAATATTTTTTTTTTTGAGATAGACAGCTAGTTGGGGAGGGGCTGAGGTAGAAGGAGAGAGAGAATCTTGAGCAGCCTCCATGCCCAGCACAGAGCCCAGTGCAGGGCTTGATCTTGAGCCACTCAGGCATTCCCGTTGTTGAAGTTTTTAAATAAGGAATGAAAAAAAAGTAGATTTAGTCTCCAAATTGGTTTACTTTCCCTAAAGGAGTAACGAGATAGGTGTAAGCATGATTGCTTCCCATTAGTTAAAAACCAAGAATATCACCAATATCTAGATTTATAATTGTATCTTTGGGATATTATTTCTTTTTATGTGTCATGTTAAAACTGAAAAACAAAAGGTTTAAAAGACAAATTATCACTCAAAAACTAATAATATAACATTGAAATAATATTCAATAATAGTTAAGTATGTGATCTCTCTCAAAAGGAAATATGGGTTGCCAGAATTTTTTGATTACAAATATTTTATACGCATTTATTTTTTACAAAGATTTTCTTTTCTAAAACTGATCTCAGCAGCTAAGTGAGGTATAATTTACTTATTTTGGTTAGCCTCTCATTAGATTCTGATACTGTGACATTTTATTAGCATTGAGTTCCTTCCTTGTTTAAGCATCCTGCTTTTAAAATATGAGATTTCAAACTCATCTACTTTTTATATGCAAACAGTTAAAAAGCCCAAGGTACAAAGTAGCATGAAAATAGAAGTGCTTAAGAGCTTGTTAGGAGACTACAGGTTTTGTTTTGTTTTTAATCCTTGGGATTTTTAAAGTGGTTTTTAAAATTTTTGCATGAAAGAGAAGTTTATAGTGTCTATGGTATATAGTAAAAGATGGCCAAAGAAATGTTATATTGTGGTTCAAGTATAGCTCTCAGCTCTAAGTTGTCCACTGAGAGAGGATCAGATCAGTGACTGTATGGTACACATCTCTCCAGGCATTCCTATTACATTCTTCACCAGTAATACTTGACAAAGCTGAGGATTTGGTATGAACATTTTTACCATATCACTTAATTAAGGTCTCAAAAAGTCACTTAAATCATGGGAGGTTGGAGAAAGGAGACTTAAGGCAATTATATGCTAATAAGGATGTGTAACATTTAAGGCAGATAATAGTTTCATGGAGAGAGGGTTTGAATCACAGAATTCAGCTACTATGACTTATTTCACTGCAGAGTTGAAAAGGATGTCTGTTTATAGATCTTTCTGGTATCCAGTGGTAAGACATTTTAACAGTCTACTATGGTTTTTTCTTACATTTATTGTTCCTCTTTTTTTCTTCTTCTCTTACTCTCTCATCTATCTAAACATATGTATCTAACTAAATGAAAAGAAACCTGTTCAGGGATCAAAGAAGAGGAAAGGAGAAAGCAATTACTAGCATTGGATGAATAAATGTCTGAAAAACATCAAAGAAAAAAATGCTATATAAATGCTAGATAGGTTTAACCCTAATTGTCCCCTTTGCTGTGGGGGAATGGCATTATTTCTTTCTGGTTCTTAGGGAAACAGCAAGAGTTAGCTACTGCTGTTGTTCTGAATGCAGGGTTTGCACATGAATTAGTAGGTAGGCAATCAATCCATTATTTAAAAAGATAGCCAGCTTTTCTCAGGGATATTAGTTAATACTACCGCATCCACGGGGATGCATAAACAGGATAGGAGTTGTTTATTCCAATTCCTGTTGAGAGTAGCACTGTACTTCCTAAAGACAGTGATTACTACAATGTTATGATTTGAATCCCTAATTGTTACCACAGTATTCAAAAAATGTAACATTAATGCATAAAAGTAAATTTATCTAGGCTCCTGGATAATTAAAATAACAGTTATTTCTCAAGGTTTTACTCACATTTCATTTAAGAAATAAAGGACTCTATTTATACCTCTGTCCTGTAGTCACTTATTTTTTAATTGGTTTTGTATGATTTGGAGTTAGCTTTCACAAAGCTCTCAGCTATTTAATGTATATTTCATTCTGATCCAGGAGGACATTTACATGTACGTTTGCAAAAAAGGAGATATATTAATCAACTGGAAGTAGATGAAAGCTCTCCAGCCAGCATATGACTATAGTAATGTTCATTAATACTAATGTTATTTTTTATAATGGTTACATTACTTTGATGTTACTAGTTTCAAAACCAAATTAATTCAGGTATAAAATTTATAACTAAAGTATGAATACACTAAATTATGTAATAAGATGGTAGTGGAAGGAATTTACTAACTAAACAACTTGTTTTCAGAATACTTAGCAACTCCATTCCCATGGACAGATATAAGGAAGTTGTTAGGTCTACATGATAAAGATATCAAATGGATTGATATTATCTCCATCTGGAGTTTTCTCTTAGTAGCTGGAATAATTTACCATGGGCTTATATAGCCCCCAAGATGTGTAGGTAGAAGTCATGGTCACCATGTCTGCTGAACCCTAATGAGGTCATAAGCTCCTCTCTATGTGTTCAAGATCTATTGAGGCTCCTGTTTATCTTGGTTCATGTTTAACGCAGTGGGGTTTAGATGCAGGAGGAGTTAAAACCTGTCAGGAATGTGGGGACCCTTTTGGTATGGAAGTCGGACAAAATAATTACAACATGAAGTGTAGCTTCAGGAAGAGAAAGGCCAACAACTATGTTTCCTCACATTTCATATGGTCATACCTAGAAATGATGACATTACTTTTATAAATTGGAAAATTAACAGTTACAATTCTCTGCACCTCAAAGATATAATGGCAGACTTCATTCCTTTGTTTGAATTTCAAGCTCTCTCTTACCCAGACCTGAGTACTTAGACTCTCACAGCTGGATATTAGATCCTAATATCAAAATCTGCTACCAAACCACATGCGATCAATGTTTAGCAACAGAGAGAATAAATGATGGCTCTTGGCAGGTGTCCCAGGCAACACAAAATTCACATGAAATTACAAAAGATGATGAGTAGTCTGATTAAGATTTATTGCCTTTATTCACCTTGATTACTTATTGTTCCCCAAGCATTTCTTTCCAAATAGGCTAATTAGCATACCTTTGGGCTCCAAGCAGAACAAAATACAGGAAATTATGTGTAGAAATCAGTAGTTGGACAGTGTTTCTTTTCAAGAGGGTGCTTAACAGCCTCTGAGTAGTATAGAAAACCATCTGCTGGCAATGAGCTGCACTGAGCACAGGTCACTTGGCTCAGCATGAATTGAAATTATTAGGGAAGAATTTACTCACAAAGATATAACACAGTATCCCCTCACCTCTTCACAATATTTCAGGTCAACCGACTTGCCATCACTTCGAACACAATCCAACATCCTTGTTTTAATGCCATTTCCACAAACTGCCTTCTCACTGAGCTGACACGTGCTCCAGTCTGAAAGGAAGGGAGCCCATCAGAACAGAAGGCTATGTATGAAACAGATTTCAAATGAAACTCTGATGACCTGAATCCCATATTTAATTCACAACTGCTTCCTAAGCCCCACAATCAATCATCCCACATGCAGAGCATATGGGTCCCGGCTTTGAACATATCAAGAGTCAAATGGAATTGCTGGGGTTGCACATAGCTATGGGGATTATTCTTGAAGGCAGATGTCTACCTGACAATCTTGACAGCTAGCCTTTTGGTGACAGTGTGAAACTGGCTTTGGCCTGCAGATCGAATGTCACTTAAAAACGTTTTTTTCCTAATAAAAGTAGAAATTTAAATTTTAACATTATTTCAAACAAAACACTATTTCACTTACTGTCCATACTTAGAATGTTTTAAAATATACACTTATTTATTTCAAAATCACTTTGGCCATATCTATTTAATTCTTTTATTTCATGTCTTTTGCAAAGTAATTCTTTCAATCTTTCTTTCCAGGGTAGCATAGCATGTCCCAGAGAACTGTGACTTCTTTGTATCATCAAAGGAAATGGAAGAGAAAAACCTAAGGAGACAAAAAGCCAATCTGACTGCTGTGTGTTAGTGCACAATGTTTAGAGTTTGTTTCAGCGGGAAAATTACTTGGGAAAAATTCCAAAATAAGCTTCAGTGTTGCCTTACATCATATAAATCAATGCATTCTCTTCTTTCTTAGAATTTGAGCCTTTATGGTATGAGAGGAGGGTTATGGGAAAAAATGAAGTCATAATAAGTCTTTTCTTCTGAAAAAAACATTCATCCTTTTTCATCTGTACTTTGATAATGCTGAAATGTTTGTCTCTTCTTCATACGGTTTTTTGGTAGCTTAAGATTGCTGACATTTTTACATCAGACTCATCATGCTTATAAACTGCCCCCACACCAAGAACTTTGTCCCAGTATGTTATAGGTATTAAACATCTTCTGAAGAAGAAAGACATCTTTCAATAAACCTGATCCTTATGGGAAAGATATGTATCTTTTATTTGCACCTTCCCAAAGTGAGAGGATGTCTTCAATAGGATCATTTAGGCTATTCACAATCTACCTTAAGGGCTCAATGTTTGTGTGATATTTTCATTCTCTATCCTGATGTTTACTGAGAAATAGATAAATATTTCTGTCATTAAATAAAGAATTATCTCTGGGAAAGTAAGAAGCATGTCCAAAAGGGACCCAGATGGAGAGGAACAATACTTACGGGAATACTGCTGAGATGAAAGGCACAGGATTTGGCCTTTAACTCTGTGATGAGATGACTACGCACATACCTGTTACATTATAATCATAGTGGAAGCAGTTTTTGTTTAGGTTACAAGGTTCCTTTTCAACGGCATTAGGGCAGGCTCTTCCTTCATCAGCAGGTTGTCTGATGGGATCAGCTGACCTTTGCCGGAAACTGCTTTGATTGCAAGGCTGACAAAGAATAATACAACTCCTCAGAATGGTGAATCCCCAGGCACACAAGAGCTAATATATGAGGGAGAGCACTGGAACAGGAGTTAGAATTTTTGGGCCATTCTCATTACACCTCAGTGTCGCCATCTATAAAATCAAGTGTTAGATGAGTTTCCGATGTCCCCTCTAGCTATAAGATGCTTAAGAGTCTGTGTGTCAAATACCAATCAATACATCCCATCACACATATGTAAACACACACATATGATCATATTAATTATTGTAGATCACTAATACAGAATTTGTAAACAATCTATCTAACATAGTTTCTTGGACCTGAAAAACCATTTTAAGGGTGATTTTAACATATTAGTTATTATAGATCATGAATACAGAAATCTATCTGTCATCTATCTATCTATCTATCTATCTATCTATCTATCCGTCCATCCATCCATCCATCCATCTAAGTTTCTTAGACCTGAAAGACCATTTTAAGGGTGGCTTTAAATAACTAGTTTTAGTGACCTTTCTTTTCCTAATGGGCACATATACATGCCCACAAACACAATTCAGCAGTTAAAAAAGACTAGCTTGCCATTCTGTTACTGGCACAGTCTTGTTCTGAAAACATCTGGTTTCTAAGAACAGGAACTTCAGATATGATGCTATGGAATTAGAACAGAAAATCATTTGCATACCCTTATTAAAGAGCTGATTCTTTGTCGCTATTTAACCTGTATCCAAGTCCACCGGCAGCCCTGTTTTGCCCCTGCTCTATCAGTTGGCTGTTAATCAGCACCTTTAATAATGTTAACCCTGAGATAGAAAATTAATCTCACTTTGAAAACACGCATCGTAAATTCTTTAAAACTGTCTTATGTTGTATTTCAGCAAATTAATTCCACATTAGATGTATTCTTCCCGTGTTTTTGATGCCATTTTGAAACGTACAGCTTTGCAGAGGTGCCTGCGCTAAGCCACATTTCCTACATGCTCAGCCAGTTCTGTTTCAAATGACTCTTCCCAGGGTCCTGTGGAAGAGCCCCTACGGGCTGTTGAAATCTAGAAGCTTTGTGTGATTTGAAAGTCTCAGCTGGCTTTCCAGGCCCACAGAGACATGGAGTCAGTGTGTGGAAAGAGATTCACTGACACACAGCTTCCTTCTTTCGATTCCCTTTCTTGCCAGGATCTTCTGCGTTTCAGTGTCAATACCCTGCTGCAGTATCCCCACTGTGTGAAAGATTATTCCAACAATTTAAATAAAATGGATTGGGCAAAAAGCAAGGGATGACAATAACCTGACACCATTAAAGTACCTTTACTAGAGCTTCATTCTTTTTCCCTTTACCTGGAAGGAATCATTATCACCATGGCAGTTTTTAACATGCTGTGTAGTTATAAACTAATCTGAAGGTATTTTGTGCGGGTCTAGGAGGATGGCAGAAGGCATAAAGGTTGCAAGAAGTTGAGCTGTTCTAGTGTGAGACAAAACACTGCTGACTTTAAATGGCATAATCATAGAATGAAGTAGCCAAGAAAACACCCTTGCTTTCATAAGCAATTTGGTTTAGTAATTATTATTTTCTTAGTAATAGCTCTGAAGCTTTCATGGTAAAAAACTGGGTAAACTCTATATTGATAAATGGTTCATCATCTTACCAAAGTGCATCGGGTCCAAGGACCCCATTCAGATATCACACAATCCTCAGGACACGGTAATTTGCACTCTCTGGAGCCCAGGGGCATCTCTTCTGGATCACAGAGGTAATCTTCTACATGGTCAGAAGGGCCATCCGCTGTATTCTGCATGCATCTACAAGAAAACATATACCTATTCAGTGAAAGAACCAGGACAATTAGAACAATGGCCAACCCATAGGACAGATGGTTCTTCCTAAGACATCATTTAGGTGTTGGAAGGTGGGAAAGTTTGCATTTTATAAACTGAATTCTCCAAACATGAAGACATGAAAGGATCTCTGCCTCCCATAAATACGTGCAGAGCTTCAGTATGATATAAAATCCACACTTGACTGTGTCATCATAATCTTTTATAATTATAGCCACTGTGTGTATTATAAACTCGGTATACAGTCTTCCTCTGAGAGGAGAGGGTCTTTTACACTCATATATGATGTAGCACCTAATGGGGAATGGTCCACAGAGATTCACAGAGGGGTTGTAATTTTGGAATATAATGCACTTTTTTCTTCAGAAGAAAATGGTATAGTCCATAGAGAAGGTAGATTTTTATATGATGAAAGATGAGGCATCCTGAACTTTCCTAGTGAGAGGTTTCATTAGGTATTTTCAAAAATAACTGATGGCACTTATCAAGTTGTTTTGTAATTTTAGCCTCCTATATGCTGATAACTTTAAAAGAAAGCCAGAAGTGAAAACAATTATAGTAGTAATAATAATAGCACACACTCTCTAAATGTGGTTGTTTCAGGGCGCCTGGGTGGCGCAGTCGGTTAAGCGTCCGACTTCAGCCAGGTCACGATCTCGCGGTCCGGGAGTTCGAGCCCCGCGTCAGGCTCTGGGCTGATGGCTCAGAGCCTGGAGCCTGTTTCCGATTCTGTGTCTCCCTCTCTCTCTGCCCCTCCCCCGTTCATGCTCTGTCTCTCTCTGTCCCAAAAATAAATAAACGTTGAAAAAAAAAAATTAAAAAAAAAAATAAAAATAAATGTGGTTGTTTCAATCTTCCTGTATCTTCACCTTTTTTAGGGTTAGTTTTCTTTTTAACAGAACCAATTCAAACATTTTATTATGTTTCACTGTTTTGTAAACAGTCGTGGTAGTCTTGTTTACTCATCTCTTGAGGAGCTAATTAACGTGGCTAGTATCAGACTTGACTTTTACAGACGTTAATAATCTCCCCAAGCACTGTTCTAGTAGACGAGAAAAACTTGATCCCTCATCTATAACTCAGAGAGGGTCAGTCAGCTTAATAGGTTGGGGAAGAGAATGCATTGCTGGAACTAAAAAGGCAGGCTTGAGTTCTTCAGCCTCTCAAACCCATTGCAGTGTTTTACACTGTTGGTTAAATTACATTATCAATTATACCTGGAATTTCACCTTTCCCAGGGATTTACAATCAGTGGGGACATGGCATTTTCACAAACCTACTCTGCAGAAACGCCTTTCTATCCAGTACTGCCCAATTTAAGAGAAATGTCGTTTTCCTGTGGGATGCATTTAATGGCTGGAAAACGGCTATTGGTCATGTCTTAGTTGGATTTTTGGTCTGAAAATATGCCCATACAATACCACCTACGCATCTTTTTTTTTTTTTTTTTGGTATATCGGATAAAAATAGAAAACCACCACAAAAACATGCAAAGGTAGATATTTGATTTCATCACTGAAGAAGAAATTATACATTTCTTTGGGAGAATTTTAGTTTCCCAGGAAAAAGTTCTATCTTCAATGGCACTGAAAAATGTTCTGTTGACAGGAGCTTTGAGAGGACATGAAGCGGAGTTTAATGCTCAAAAGTTGGATTTGCTGCTAAGAAAAGACTGAATTCATGGTGGGCACTGACACAGCGAACAAGGATTAACTTGCAAAATTACCTATTGATCCAGAGTTAAGGACAGATGTTCAATACTCAATTAAGTACTTATATACATAAAACTACATTTTCACAGGCTTTTCTTCTTTAATTTTTTATTACATAGGTAATTTATTCAGTTTAGGAAAGTCAGAAGAAAAAAAAATCACATGAGTCTATCACTCAGAGAAAAGCATTCTTAACAGACTCACAAAATAGGAACAAACTTGACTATTTTGTGCCATTTAAGAAAAAATTTAAAAATACATTATGGATGTAACTTTTAGTGACTATATTCAAATAGCCTCATTTCAAGGTGCCACAATTGCTAAAAAGACCTTTATTGTTGACATTCAGATTCTTTATGTTTTACTTACTTCATTTGGTATTAACCAGCTTTTAAAATCACTCTAGAGTACAGACTAAATATTTGGATCAAGTTTTAAGCACAACGGAAGGCACCTTGAGTGCATTTGCTTTATTCACATTCTTGGCCTTTCTCCTTTCCACAGGAGACGGAATTATGATGTGAGAAAACTGAACTGTATTAGAAATAACATCATGCAGAACCAAGCTGAAGGCAAAGGATGGAGCCAGAGGCCCACCACGGCTGTGACAATAAGGGGCTACATTGCAGAGAATTCAAAAGCAACCATGAAAGTAACCACATCTGTTGCTTTTTATTATTATTAATTTTAATTGCCACCATGTGCTGGCAATTCTAAATATAATGTCCACGAGCAAATATCCCTTCTGACCATGGAAAATCACTTCGGCCACTTAGTGTATGCTATGCCATACCATCCTAAAAGAGAAAGAATGGGATTGGATAAATTGGAATATGCTGTCTCACAGACTCATCTATCCTGAAATGTTGCCCAATGCTTGCATATAAGCAGTACATTTTGACCTTAATTATTAGCAGAGGATAAGGTTAGAGAGGTTTACTACTCAAGTCAGTAACAAAAAGAAACATTATGTGATCAGAGATCATAATCAATACTGACCTATTTTCTCTATTTACATTAAAGATGTTTACTAAAAACATAAATTGATCTCAAAAGTTACTTTGATTAAGAGGTATTTGGAAATGGTGAGAATATGTATTTATCAACCAAGAAAAAGCAACATGTACACAGATAGTTGAAGGGAAAGCTGAAAGAATAGTTTCTTTTTTTTAATTAAAAACATTTGTTTTTAGAGAGAAAGAGAGCATAAGTCAGGAGAGGGGCAGAGGGAGAGGGAGAATCTTAAGCAGGCTCCATGCTCAGCGCAGAGCCCAACACAGGGCTCCATCCCATGACCCTGGGATCATGACCTGAGCTGAAAGCAAGAGTCGGAGGCTCAACCGATTGAGTCACTGAGGTGTGCCACTTGTTCTTTATTACGCTTTTTCTTTTTTTTTTCAACGTTTATTTATTTTTGGGACAGAGAGAGACAGAGCATGAACGGGGGAGGGGCAGAGAGAGGGAGACACAGAATCAGAAACAGGCTCCAGGCTCTGAGCCATCAGCCCAGAGCCCGACGCGGGGCTCGAACTCACGGACCGCAAGATCGTGACCTGGCTGAAGTCGGACGCTTAACCGACTGCGCCACCCAGGCGCCCCTACGCTTTTTCTTACTAAAAGCACAACTTGATCAAAAAAACTTTTATAAGGAAAGTATTTTTAAATTTGAAGGAGAAATTTTAAATTTGGAAGGGAATGGTGGAAAATGGAATCTCTGTCTTTTCCTTACATTTCCCTCTCATATTACCTCACAGGCCCTCTTCCACCTTTATTAAGTTCCTGAGAAAAATACCTTGAGAGTTCAGAGGGCTTGGGAAAAACAGATAGAAATTATTATTCCTGGAAGCAAAGTTACACATAGTGTGCCAAAGTTTTATTATACGAATGCTAATTTGCTCTACTTTTCTGTTGAGAAATATCAATCTTATTCATGAAAAGTTAGATCATGGGTGACAGTGGCCTTCCTCATAACATAAGTAGTCAAGTTCTGGATGTTCTTACATTTGTCTATACTGTGTGTAACTCAGAAGGGTTGGAAGAAACTGGTATAAAAAGTGATAAAACAGGGCACCTAGGTGGCTCAGTTGGTTGAGCGTCCAACTTCAACTCGGGTCATCATCTCACGGTTTGTGGGTTCGAGCCCCGCATCGGGATCTGTGCTGACAGCTCAGAGCCTGGAGCTTGCTTCAGATTCCCTGTCTCCCTCTCGCTCTGCCCTTCCCCCTCTCACTCACTCTCTCTCGCTCTCAAAAATAAACATTAAAAAAATTCAGTATAGAAAAAAAGAGTGACAAGAGACTGTGGATTGAATGCCAATTCTGTCACTTTTCTAGATGTGTGTTTTAGGTAAATCACTTAGTAATTCTGAGTCTACTCTACAAAGTGGAGATAATAAAACCAAATACACTTGTTTGGTAGGGTTCTAGAACCCCTAAGAGGCATATGCAGATACTGTAGGGGCAGCTTAATGAGTATAAAACTTGTATTAAGCATTAGGGAATTTGTATGAATATGACAGGATCTCAGTTTGGAGAAAATGATGGAGTTTAATAAAAATGACAGACCAGTAAATGGATCCTTTCAAAACAAAGAGGGGTATACGGGGTACTATAGGGCAACACCGCTCAATAGAACTTTCTGTGATGATGGAAATACTCTATATCTCTGCAGTCTGACAGAACAGCTGTTAGCCACCTCTGGCTATTGAGCACTTGAAATGTGTCTAGTGTGGCTGAGGAAATGCACTCTTAATTTAATTGTAACTAGTTTAAATGTATTTTTTAAAGTTTATTTATTTATTTTGAGAGAGACAGAGAGGGAGACAGGGAACGGGAAGGATAGAGAGGAGAGGAATCCCAAGCAGGCTCAGTACTGTCAGTGCAGAGCTCAATGTGGGGCTCAAACTCACAAACTGTGAGATCATGACCTGAGGCGAAACCAAGAGTCTGTCGCTTAATTGACTGATCCACCCAGGTGCCCCTTAATCAGTTTAAATTTAAAGTGAAATAGGGGTACCTGGGTGGTTCAGTCAGTTGAGCGTCTGACTTCAGCCCAGGTCATGATCTCAAGCCCTGTGTGGGGCTCTGTGCTGATGGCTCAGAGCCTGGAGCCTGCTTCAGATTCTGTGTCTCCCTCTCTCTCTGTCCCTCCCTTACTCTGTCTCCCAAAAATAAATAAACATTAAAAAAATTTAAAGTTAAATAGCCACATATGGCTAGTGGCTACCCTACTGGGCAGTGCGGCCAGAGAAGGCTTCCTGGAGGAGAAGAGAATATTCAAAACTTAGCCAGTTTTATGTAAAGGAGCAAGGATTTATAATAGATTATCGTTAAAAAGCAGTAAGAAGTGTTTTTGGCCTTCAAGAAAAAAGTATTGGGGTTGAGAAAATCTGCATGAGTTCAGCTTGTATTCAATGTGAACCTTTCTTTTCACAGGAGCACCTTGAAGTGAGGCTCCTGATGTCAGAAGACCCAGTGTGACAAACTGTTGCTTGAAGCAGATCCCCTTAGAGTTTTCCATGCACTCAGATTCCCTAGAAATAAAACTAAAGACAGTTTTAGTCAGGAGACTGGGGAGGAGTGAGAGTGGCACACGTGAGATCGGTAGGAGATTGCACGTTCCTTGTCCACGTAACCAGGCTTGGCCTTACCTCACTTTTCGGGTTTGCACACCCTCTCCACAGTTATCTCGCATGTTGACAAAGGTCACTTTGCAGATGCTCCATGGCTCTGTGACCCATACGTACTGGTTGCACTGACTGTGGCAAGGAACGACCTCATACACCTGAAACACACACAATGAATTCTCAGGGATTTCTCCTCAGGGAACCTGATGAGGATATGTGGGGACACTTCACATCACAACAATCATTACATTCTTTTCACTCCTCTCCTTTCTTGTTCATCATTCTAAACTAGGAATATAGGAAATATGAGAGTTAGAGTAGTGATGGGCAGGGCTAGCGGTGCTGTGTTCTCTTGATCCGGTTTGACATCACAGGTGCAGATTTGATCAGGTGGAGCACATGAGACCCATTACACACTGTCCCATACTGACCCACACCACACAGCACTGTGATTTCATGGGCCATCTGTCTTGTTCACAGGCCTGTGTGTCTCCAATGCTTAGGCCAGAGTGCTCAGATGTTAGGCATTCCACAGAGGTTTGCTGAATAGATGAATGAATGAATAGATGAATTAATAAAGTAAATAAGCATATAAAACTAGTTGTTTTTTTTTAATATGACTTGGCCTGTTTTTCAAATAAATGTATGTAATAATAAGAATTTATACTCTTTTTTTGCATTCCATATGTGAAACTGAGTTAAACGGTAAAAAATAAGGAAATACGCCTCTTTAAAACTAACCCTCAATCATTCAGGGCTTGGAAGCAAGGTCTGAAATTGGTCTCGTATTATACAGCTACAGCCCAAAGCAGGGAGAGCCACATAACACAAAGCAAACTTGTCTGTCCTCCGGTGTCCATGAAGGCTGAAAGCCCCACATTTAGGGTGGGGTGTTGGTCTCAGGATTTTAGAACAATGGACCAATTTTGCTCTTTTCTCAAGGAGAACAATGACTAAATCAAGGAAATAAATAAACCATAATCTACTGCAACACAGCTGACTCAACTGTTAAAGAAAAATGTCTTTTAAAATGATTTCAAAATCTATGGTCATTCAACTCTATTTCCTATTTCACAACACACACACACACACACACACACACACACGTACATGTTTGTTTTTTTGTAACTACTTAATTCCAGAAAAATCCAGAAAATATAGATATAAATAGCCCCTTGGAGCTATTCTTTTGTGCAAATTTCAGTGAGTGAGTAAAGGAGACCCATTCCAAGTGAGAATAAATCATATGCGCTGTTGGCATAAGAATCCACAATTACGGTTATAAATGATCACCTTCACATTGGGTACTGTATTTAAATAGGACTAAATACTACCAGGTAAAACATTACCCTACAACTTGTGGGGAAGGAAAACACTGAAAGAGAAATGCCATTTTTCCTAATCTTTCAATGGTTTTCATTTTAATCTCCTACACTGGACTGAATACAAATCAGTTCAGAGCAACCTCCTGCCGCCCATCCTCAGCCTACCTGCACCTTTACCCCTCCCTCCAAGAAGCATGACATCGTTAACAAGAGGTGTCCTTGCCTTTTCAAGGCTGGTGAAGTGAAACTTGTTCCCCCCACTCCTGTATCTCAGGCCCTGATATTAAAATGAGAAAACACAGGTAGCAAGCTAGAAGGACAGAGAGAGAGAGAGAGAGAGAAACAGATGCAAAACAAAAATTGTATGGAAAATGTGCTATTTTCTCCCTGTAAAACTAAAGACAACAGCAGAAAAAGAAATCCATTCTCTGAAGTCAGGAGTGAAAAAGAAAACAAGCAGCACTCTACCACGAATCAGGAGGTTTAAAAATTCTTACCTGTGCCTGGAGTAGTGTTCAACAGGAATGAGGAAAAGAAAGAAAAAAAAAATAAGGAAAAAATGTCAGTATATTGAGCAAAAAAATTCATGTTCTAAGTTTTAAATATTATGTTATCCACACATAAAAGTCTACTTTTCTTTTTTGGTAAATGATTAAAATATTTTTATTAAGCCCTAAAAGAGAAAAAGCAACTCCTAATTATTGTTGAAAGTGAAGATACACAAATGAGTATTGCAAACAGCACAGTCAAGGTAAAGATTAGATGAACAGGATGAAGAAATCTTAAGAAACTGACTAGACCTAAAAATACATATCATGCGGGATTGATAAATGACTGCAAATATTTTGTGATCCAAATTGGGAATGAAATCTATCCATAGATTGATTGATTAATCTATTGATTTTAATCAATCCATCTACATTTAATCAATCCATCTACAAGGAAATGAGAATTTGCTTCCTCAATTAGAAAGTGGAAAATCAAAGACCATTTTCAAGTCAATGGACCACTGATTATTTTATTGAGGAATGTAGAATTATAGCAAAAAATCCATGTGACTTATAATTTTCAAAATTAACACAAACCTTGGCATATTCTTTACTAACATGTTGCTGATAAATCCTAGAAAATTCCATTTTTTTAAATGTAGGACATTTACACTCAAATAGTCAGCAATCTAGTATTTCCCATTTTAGCTGGAATTTTTCAGTTGTTAATGTTGTAATTTACACCAGTAAGCTGATTAACAAGTATGCAAATGTCACCATCAAAATTAAATTTTATCAGAGTTGGAGAGTGACAGAGACATGATTTAGGTAAAAGAATTTTCATAGCGAAGACAACTTGGCAGAAGGTCTTGAACCTTTAAAAATTTACTAGTAAAAAGATGCTAAGGCAAGCATGGCTTATTTTATTGAAGGGCTGACTGGCTGCACACACACACACACACACACACACACACACACACACACACTTTGAACCTATGTGCATATGTCAAATTTCTCTTTATTAGAATCATGGATCAAAAGTTATTACAATTTAAATTTACCATTGAAAATTTAAGATTTCAAAACTTGTAAAAAATATTCTTTTGCATTATAAACCTTACATTTCAGTTATTCTGTTTCATTAGGGTCAGGTAACTGAATTTTCTTCTTTGCAAATATTCAATCTGGCAGGGAAACTCAATTACCAGTAGATGGCAGCAGTGCAGTGTATTATTTGCCTTTGGATGCCTTTAAGGGAACGTGCAGCAAATTCACCCAAGGGAAAAACCAACATTTTTTTCAGAGCAGTACTTCCTGTAGCATGTAATTCTCCATTTTGTTCATCTTTAATTTCTTTATTCAAAATTTATTTTCTCTAGGGTGTACATTTATTTTTACTTCATCATTATTATTTTTGAAGATCTAATTGGCTTTATTATCTGATTCATGAATTGGGCAGCATTCCATTTAGCAAGTTGAAGGGAGCACCCTATAGTATACCTTTATTATCATTAATAATTTAAGTTAATTTAGGAAGTAAAGTACGTGTATTGGAAAGCAGTGTGTTTGGAGATTAAAATTAGATGGTCTGTGTATGCGTGAAACCTATCTACATATTTAAGGTTGGTTCATATATATGACTTAGTTCATTTGACTCTGACAATATAAATTAATACCTTAATATCTACATATACTATATTAAATTTATTCTTTTTTAACTCACATGTAGGTCAAACAAGATAATAACTGCCTACATCTTATATTACATTTGAATTTGTCACCATTCCCTCTATTAGCCTTTTTACTTCATATCTCCAGTAGAACACAAGTAACAACTATGAACAGCAGACAACGAAGTGAGCATACAAAATCAAATAAAGTTCCAGATAAAATTGAACAGGTCAATGACTAAATTGGTAGATAACATAGTAACACTGACTTTGAGGTCATCTTTATATTTCTTTTTTTCTTAACATACTTTATATCAAACAAATTTAAATGAACATCCAAAACCTATTTCCTAGTTTTAGACCCAACCCATATACTTGCTTTCATTTTAAGTAGTTGGTAATTGAGATATCTTTTCTGACATTCTAGGGAAGTATAATAATGAGACAATCTTGCTCTCAGCACACAGCTAGATACAATTTTATGATATTATCTTAAAGGTAGGTGTCGTTTTAATTTCCATTTAATTATATTCATATGCATATACATGCTGGGTACTAAATGTGATGCAAAGATGATATATCTGATTTGGTATTTTAATAGCATACATACATTAACTCAGGCATTCTAAAGGTAAAATGGGTCAAATTTCTTATTTGAAAGGGGCTATTATTTACTCTTCTCCATTTGAAGAAAAAAATAGATCATAGTGATTGTAAACAATATGCAGTGTTCTCAATATAAGAATCAATAGGAGAAAATACCTGGTTGACATGGTCCAATTTAGGGCAAGGCCTCCCTCCATTATATGGTTTTTCACGCAACCATTTAGACCGAACCTTCACACCGCTCCCACAGGACTTGCTGCACCGTGACCAGTTGGACCACTCACTAAGCTTGCAGTCAGAGGGACAAGGGATGATGCAAGCCTCTTCGATGTAACCTAAATGGAAGAAAATGAGATGAGAGCCATCTCCTCCACATGTCACTCGCACACTACCACCCACCATGCTAGCTCACTTAGAAGGTCCAAGTTCGACTTGACAGCAACATGCAAATGCAAAGATGTCTCCGTCGTTAGGGACTCAAATTAAATTCTGCAGGAAAATGACACACACGTACAGAGACTCTGTTAAAATAACAGCTGAGCAGCTGCCATATGATCTGCTTAGGATTCATGCTCACCATACCTCAACATTTCTGACTTTCTGACAGCTCGTGTTTAATTGACAATAACCTGTCTGCTGCTATATCATTCTCATGCTGTCAGAATGATACATTAAAAAAATTATAACGGTTTTCTATAAAATGCTCTCTGTTAATGTCACGCAAGTTCAAGTTTTTGAGTCCATGCAATGTTCTTCCTCAAGAAGAAAGCCAGAGCCTCTCAATCAATATCTGAGAGGGAGCGTTTAACTTAGCACCTTATGCTTTCCCTTCTTTGAAAATCAAATCCGGAGAAGGAGAGTGAAGAATGTTAAATAAATAATGTCTCATATTTTTATAGTGCTGTCAATTTCAAAACAACTTTACATCTTGTTTTCATTTGATTGTCTCAAAAATCTTATAAATGTATCGGGCAGGTAGGTATTGATTTTCTCCTGGATAGATATTCTAACAAATGCAGAAAGGTAATTGACAAGTGTGGGGGCACACAGTAAGAGATGGGGTCTAGTCCATTACTCGCTCCATCAAATCACACAGCCAATTAACTTAATCATCTACAGATGTGATTTGAGAAATGGGTGCATTTTCCTGGAACAGTCTCTTATTACCAGCTTGGCATTTCACAGTATCAATTTATCACTAGTATTCTCCAGGCCAAAATGTGGAGAAAGCAAAATTTCCCTTGGTCGAGAGTCAAATGCATGGCTGTTCTGTGTAATACTCTGATGTGCAGAGGGATTGTTCTTGTAACATTTTACATCAACTTCAAGGATTTGATTTTGAAAATGATAATATAAACAACTTGTACAAGGGAACTCTAGGTAGGTTTATACATTTTTTTTTATGGAGAAAATTCACATACCATAAAAGTCAGCTCACGTTTTGGATTTTAATATATTCAGTGGGTCATACAACTGTCACGACTATCTAATTTTAGAACATTTTCATCACCACGAAGAGAAACCCTATACCCGTTAGCAGCCATCTCCTATTTTCCTTTCCCTCGACACCCTGGCTACCACTCATCTATTTTCTATCCCTAAGAATGCACCAATTCTGGACATCTCATAAAATGAAATCAAACATTATGTGGTCTTTCTGATTGGCTTATTTCACTTAGTATAGTGTTTTCAGGGTTCCTCTAGGTTATAGCATATGTTAGTACGTCGTTCCTTTTTGTGACTGAATAATGATCCATTGTATAGATATATTTTGCTTATCCATTCGTCAGTTGATTGATATTTTAGTTATTTTCCTATTTTGTATATTATGGATAATGCTATGAACATTTGTGTATAAATTTCTGTTTGAACATGTTTTTAATTCTCATGGGTGTATATCTACAAGTGGAATGCTGGCTCATATGGTAACTCTATATTTAACTTTTTGAGGCAATTGTCAAACTGCTTTCCAAAAGTGTACCATTTTATAATACCACTAGCAAGGTATGCGTGTTCCAAATTCTACATTTGTCAAAACTTGTGTTTTTAATTTTAGGGTCCTTTGAAGAATGAAATTTTAAATGTCAATGAGTCTAATTTACCTATTTTTTTCTTTGGTTGTTGGGCTCTGAGGTCACATCTAGAAAACTACTACCTAATCTGAGGTAATAAAGATTTACACCTAGGTTTTCTTCTAAGAGTTTTATAGTTTTAGCTCTCATATTTAGGAATACGGTTCACTTAATTTTTGTATATGTTACGAAAAGCTGTGTGTGGCGGGGGGTCCAACTTCATTCTTTTATATGTGGTTATCATGTTATTCCAGGCCCATTTGTTGAAAAGGCTATTTTTTCTACATTGAATTATTTTGGTACCCTTGTTGAAAATCAATTGACCATAAATATAAGGGTTTATATCTCAATTCTAAATGCCATTCTATTGATCTCTATGCCAATACCACACTGTCTTGATTACTGTAACTTTGTTTTGAAGTTTTGAAGTCAGAATGCGTGAGTCCTCCTCCTTTGCTCTTATTTTTTAAAATAGTTTCAGCTTTTGGGCGCTTTGCATTTCCATATGCATCTTAGAATCAGCTTGTCAAGTCTTACCCAAAATGGCAGCTAAGTTTTTGATGGGAATTATGCTGAACAGCTTGATCAATTTGGGAGTATTGCCATCTTAATAATCCAGATACATGGAATTTCTTTCCATTTATTTAGGTCTTTCATTTCTTTCACTGATGGTTTCTAATTTTTAGTGTACACATCTTAACACTTCATTTGTTAAATTTATTCCTAAGTGTTTCATTCTTTTTATTGTAGGTAGAGTTAAAAGAGAACCTTTCATTATAGCGAAACAAGACCACCTAAAAACCAGTATGATAAATTTCATCTAGAAGCTTGTAACCAAAGTTACAGTTGAGACAGTGTTAAAAAGCTAGCCAGTTACTACACAGTATTTCCTAGCTTTATCACAAATTATGTGGAACACATGCTAAAATTGCAGGTTTCCAGCAATCCCCCACATTATGATACAGTTCAGTTGGGATAGGGTCTCACTTTTAGAAATTTAATGTATTTTCTTGCGTTTACTCACCATTGTTTTTTTATTGAAATCCTTTTATCAAGGTAATTGTGGATTCACATACAATTGCAAGAAATATGAGAAATAATATCAAGAGGTCCCTTGTCTACTTTTCCTAGTTACTTACAACAGTAACTATAGTATAATTTCAACCAAGATACTGAGACTGATACAATCCATTGAGCTTATCTAAGTTTCACCAGTCATCCTTGTACTCATTTATAAATGTGTGAGTGTGTGGGACTGAAATTAGGGAATGCTGTTGTAAGACAAGTCAGAACCAGTTGAATCTGGAGGAGAGGCAGATTTGTACACATCTTTCTACATACAGTCCCTGTATTTTTGCCAAAGTTACACATTAGCTGTTTTAAACTTAGTCTCCATACACAAATGTGCATCTTTTGTACAATTTCAAAAGTACGAAGTTCATTGAACACACACATGTATCCAGAAACCTCTTTGGTGCTCCCTTCCAATCACTATCCCTTCTCACATGGCAGCTACCCTAATTTCTCACAATGCAGAATTGTACTTTTAAAAAATGTTACGTAAATGGAGTCATACAGTGAATAACCATGTGTGCAAGCTTTCTTTCATTCTATAATGTGGCATGAGATTGATCCATATTTTTGCATGTTGTTGAAGGCTATTTATTTATTTTTTAATGTTTATTTATTTTTGAGACAGAGACAGAGCATGACTGGGGGAGGGGCAGAGAGAGAGGGAGACACAGAATCTGAAGCAGTCTCCAGGCTCTGAGCTGTCAGCACAGAGCCTGACGCAGGGCTTGAACTCACAGACTGAGATCATGACCTGAGCCGAAGTCGGAAGCTCAACCGACTGAGCCACCCAGGCGCCCCATAAGGCTATTCATTTTAATTGATATATAATATTCTATTGTGTTTATAATATTATGGCTTATTCGTACATTCTAATGATGGTGAGTGGATATTTTTTAAAAATATAATTTATTATCAAATTGGTTTCCATACAACACCCAGTGCTCATCCCAACAAGTGCCCTCCTCCATGCCCATCACCCACTTTCCCTTCTTCCCCACCCCCAACAACCCTCACTTTGTTCTCAGTCCTTAAGAGTCTCTTATGGTTTGCCTCTCTCCTTCTAACTTTTCTTCCCCCCCCTTCCCCTCCCCATGGTCTTCTGTTAAGTTTCTCAAGATCCACATATGAATGAAAACATATGGTATCTTTCTCTACCTGACTTATTTCACTTAGCATAATACCCTCCAGTTCCATCCACATTGCTGCAAATGGCCAGATTTCATTCTTTCTCATTGCCAAGTAGTATTCCATTGTATATATAAACTACATCTTATTTATCTATTCGTCAGTTGATGGACATTTAGGCTCTTTCCATAATTTGGCTACTGTTGAAAGTGCTGCTATAAACATTGGCATATATGTGCCCCTGTGCATCAGCACTCCTGTATCCCTTGGGTAAATTCCTAGCAGGGCTATTGCTGGGTCATAGGGTAGTTCTATCTTTAATTTTTTGAGGCAGAAGACATGAATGGATGTTTTTCAATGTGCAGCTATTGTTAACAAGATTGCTATGAGCCTTCTAGAATATGTCTTTTTGTGAACATATGTATTTTGGGGGGGACTATTCCTAGGAGAGAATTTGATGCATCAGAAGGTACCACCTAATTGTAAGTAAAGTATAAAAAAATTCTTTTTAAAGATAGGATCACAAATTTGGCATGAAGAGCAGGGTGCAATGAAAGAATTTTCAAAAGTGTAGGAATTAGTCTCAGCTAGCCTTCAAGAGGGCAGATGAGGCAGCTGGGGCTTTGTCAGCTGTGAAACACTAAAGACAGAAAAAAGACACCAATGCTAAGTTTTGAATGTACTTCTGATACTGAAAAAGGCATCTGGACTATTGATAATGATATAGAGGAAAGTTTAATAAAAAATGAAAGTACCTTATGACAGTGTTTACCAAAATTTTGAAAAGTGTAACTATTCTTCAAATAGATTGCAGTGTCTACTTAAATCTTTGACTTTGATTATGGTTTGAGGTAGGGAAACAAGCCCATCTCACTATTTTGAACTGAAACAAATTTTAAATCTCATTCTGCCTTTCATATAGCATAGCTTAGAAATTAAATTTATCTAAACCAGTAGGAGATGCTTAAAAATGGAACTCTCAAAAGGGCCAGTAATAATTCATTTTATATTTCAAAGTAATAGGTTATGAAATAAAATCAAACTGTAGAAATGCCTAAAGTCAT